GTGGCCAGGAGGCAACAAGCCTATCCACAGACTTTGAAACTCAGTTCAGAGCCTAGAGAATGATGATAAAAATTTGCCTAGGAAACTAAGATTAACATCTTCCTGGTTTCCAATTCTGACAATGTTTGTGAAGTCTTCGTGTCCAGCCTGACACTCTCCAGAAAGCCTGAAGCTGAAGCTTCAAATCACCCTAATTCCTCCCAGTTCCAATCACCTTCAGACCTTCATCTGTCAGGTCCTCCCTCACCTCCTCAGTGTCTATCAATCTACTGATGTTCACCTTCTACTTTACCTGGCAAATCCTTGGCAATGTGTGAGCCAGTGGTGGCCTGGGGAAGGCTCCTTGGGCACACTCTTCCCCCCAATTTCAGGGGCTCCAAGTACAAATTTATAGAAGTAACCATCCAAGATGTTCTGTTTCTTACAAAATCGATAATGAGCTCAGGTCCCAGGTTATACCTCCAGTTATAGGGCAGATGTCTTGGGACACCAAACACAACTCTTAATGAGCCTGGGGAATAAACAGACACTCTGCACCAAGAAGGAAATCAAAATAATGAATTGGCTTCAGGACAAAACTCATTCCCTATAGTCCTAACTCTGAAAACTACCCCATACTCCCATCTAAATGAAGAAAGAGACTCCAAGGGGACATCCCCCAACATAACCCTTGTACACTTCCCTAGGAGGTGTCTCCATTCTAACCTTACCCTAGGCACTGAGTGTTAGAGTGAATATCTTTTTATACTCTGGGAATCTGGGGAGTTTTTTGTCTGTTTGTTTTTGTTGTTTTGTTTTGCAGCACAGTGGATCTAACCCAGGACTTTGCACATGCTTTGTGAGTGCTTTACCAATGAGCCCCACCAGAGCCCTACCCTGGGAGTTTTGCTAATGGATAACAGGAAGTGGAAACTGGACAGGTATTAGATGCCCTCAGTTTATGTCCTATACTTTTATACACTTAATCACTGGTTGATCATTGCTCATTCAACAAGTAATTATTGAGCAATGTGGAAATAAAGGAAAACCTACCAAATGAAATCAAAGCCTATGTACCCAGAGTTTTCTATAGCAAGGGAGTCGATCACTATCATTTGACCATTTGGCAAAGACAGAGGAGTGGGAAAGTTTTCAATTGACAAAAATCATGCCTCAGATGAACTCACTGGTTTTGATATTGCCTCTGCAGAAAGCTGGGGTGGAAAAATTTTAAACTGGACAAAAAACAAGAAAAGGTGTGTTCTGACTGGAAGCTGTTGGCTTAGAGAAGCTAGAGAAAGGCTAACTAGAAGCAAGCTCTCCTATTCACAATTGATTGTGTGTGTGTGTGTGTGTGTGTGTGTGTGTGTGTGTGTATATATATATATATATATATATATATAGTCAATTGTGAAAAAAAATATATGGCTTTCTCTGGTTGATCCTAAGTTGGAAGCAGAGGAATAAATTAGAAAAACAGTCATTTATTAGTCAAGTCCTGGCCATTTAGTGCCAGTTGTTGCAGAATTTATTCTTTAGCTTCCTACATTACTAAAGATAGCAATCTGATTTCCTACAAGTCAGGTGCATAGCATTTGACTTCCTGAGCTTTTATTGTAGATATAGAGGTTGTTTTCCTGAGCAGGTTGCTGTAGACTGTGGTCA